AATGTCCCCCGAAGTAGATCCAACGTCAATCACGATGCCTGCTGCTGCGGTTACTCAAAAAACGCTTCCTCCCGCCGTCTGACTGCTCCGCTGGCTTGATTGTTCTTAAATATGTAAGGGGCGTGGCCACCCAGTGACATCACTTATGTGCATTCAGCTGTCAGCGGGGAATCATGCTGAAAGCTGAAACATTAATGCATGGTTTTCACTACTAAAATACAGCATGACTTGATAAAATAACTCATGAGGTATTTTAGTAGCATTTTTAGTGAATTAAAACTTTTTTTTGTTTTTAAATGCTGTGAGGTATCCTACCGCATACTCGGATGCGGTAAGATACCACTTAGTGAATTGTGCCCTCTGTTCCTAAGAGGCATAATTTGTTCCTCTTCTCAGGTTTGCAGAGTTCAACTGGGTGCAAGAAATGTTTGATTACAACTCCAATCTGGAGATTCCAAAACATTTTTTGAATTCTTGGTTATTTCAAAGACCCACTTGCAGATTGCTCCCATCCTCCTTTTAGAAATCCGTTCCACCATTCAAGCCCTGAAACAGACTATTTCCAATCCATAGTTATATAGTTACATACATAGTTAGTCTGACTGAAAAAAAGACAAAAGTCCATCCAGTTCAACCATAAAAAAAAAAAAAAAGTTATAATCCTATACCCACAGTTGATCCAGAGAAAGGCAAAAAAAAAAGCCCAGCAAAGCATGATCCAATTTGCACCTGCTGGGAAACAAATTCCTTCCTGATCCCCCGAGAGGCAATTGGATATTCCCTGGATCAAGTTTACCTATAAATGTTAGTATCTGGTTATATTCTGTGTATCTAAGAAATAATCCAGGCCTTTTATGAAGCAATCCACTGAGCTGGCCAGAACCAACTCTTGAGGGAGTCTATTCCACATTTTCACAGCTCTCACTGTAAAGAAACCTTTCTGTGTTTGGAGATTAAATTTATTTTCCTCCAGACGTAAAGAGTGCCCTCTTGTCCTCTGTGTTGACCTCAGGGTGAATAGCTCTACACTGAGTTCACTATATGAACCACTGATGTATTTATACATGTTGATCATATCCCCCCTTAATCTCCTCTTCTCAAGAGAGAATACATTTAGTTCCTCTAATCTTTCCTCATAGCTGATCTCCTCCATGCCTCGTATCAGTTTAGTTGCCCTTCTCTGTAAGTTCCCCAATGTTCTTTTTGTGAATTGGTGCCCAAAACTGAACTGCATATTCTAGATGAGGTGTTGCTAATGATTTGTACAGGGGTAATATGATATCTCTCTCTCTGGAGTCTATACCTCTTTTAATACAAGAGAGGATTTTGCTCGCTTTAGAAACCGCAGCTTGGCATTGCATGCCATTATTAAGCTTGCGATCTACCAGAACCCCCAGATCCTTCTCCACCATTGATTCCCCCAGTTGTACCCCCCCTAGTATGTATGATGTATGCATATTCTTAACCCCCAAGTGCATAACCTTACATTTATCAACATTAAATCTTATTTGCCACATAGTTGCCCAATTAAACAGTGCATTGAGGTCGGCTTGTAAGTTGAAGACATCCTGTAAGGACGTTATTACACTGCACAGCTTGGTGTCATCTGCAAAGACTGAAATGGGATTTTTAATCTCAGACCCTATATCATTTATAAATATATTAAAAAGTAAGGGTCCCAACACTGAACCCTGGGGTACACTACTGATGATCCCAGACCATTCAGAGTATGAATCATTAACCACTACTCTCTGAATACGATCTTTATCTGAGGCTTGCACCCAGAGACAGACTCTACAGTCCACGTGAGCCTATGACCTCTGCCACCAGAGTGAGCCTCTGAGGCTCTGCTGCCCAAGTGAGCCTCTGAGGCTTTACAGCCTGAGTGAGCCTCTGAGACTCTGCCACCCGAGTGAACCTCTGAGACTCTGCTGCCCGAGTGAACCTCTGAGACTCTGGCAACCGAGTGAACCTCTGAGACTCTGCCACCCAAGTGAACCTCTGAGACTCTGCCACCTGATGAGTGAACCTCTGAGACTCTACTGTCTGAGTTAGCTTCTGAGGTTCTGATGCCCAAGTGAGCCTCTGATGCTTTGCAGCCTGAACGAGCCTCTGAGGCCCTGCAACCTGAGTTTTTTTCCTGAGGTCTAGTACCCTGTGTCAGTTTCCTCTGTCTTTGAGACAAATCCCCTGGCTTCAGACTTGTCTCTCTTGGGTTGAAAGCACTCCTTCCCTTGTGTGGTAGTCCCTATTCTGTGTTCCCCTTGGCCGAGTATGTGTTCCCTATGCCTGTGACTGTACCTGAGTCGTTCTCACTTGTGCCTGTGCCCGAGTTGAGAGTGTGAGAGTTGATCTCCTCCATGTATGAGTTGGTCCCTTTGTTGGACAATTTGTTATACCTGAACCCAAGACCTACTAGGGCACCTCTGAGATTGTGCCATGCCCTTCTGAAACTTTGACAGTGCCTTACACCTCTAAAATATTGCCAGTAGTATGCTATCACAAGACCTTTCCAGTGTCATGCACTTTTGAGAACCTGTTATCTTGTCCAGTCCTGGTATGCCCAGATGCTACATTGGTCCATGCGTGTCCAGAAGCTACCTATCTTCAGACTTGCTCAGAGGTTTCCTCTGTTCTGGAAGGCCTGAGGGTTGCCCCTACTGGAATAAGCTCTGATATAGCTGATACATTTGGCATTTCCAAACACTGAAGATGTCCTTTGTTGCTTAGGTCCTGAGGGGCTCTTTGGAGCTAAAGTGGGCACCTATATGTTCCACTATGCTCCCTCAACTCCCAGGTTCTCTGGGTGAGACTTCTACTTATCCAGGGATCCCAAGGGAACCTATTTTTTGCCATTTAAGCTTGATGTCCAGTGGCTTTGTTGGGCTTTGCTTAGTGGGATCTGACTTTGGCTCTGCTTTCTAGGTTCTAGTTTTGCTGAGTATTGATCTGCAGGTTCTGACTCTTCTGGGCATCGCTCAAAGAACTTTGATCCTCCCAAGCTACTGTATCCTATGGTGGCATCTCTGAGCTTCCTGGCTGGATTGTATTTTTGATGCCAGCAGTTACCTCTCATCAGAATTGTGTACTACTAGATTCTCCAGTTCATCTATCAAGATTTTGCCCCATTAATGTTTTTACCTTGAGAATATCCTAATGTTTGTTCTGTCCTCCCAGAATTTCATCCTGAGTTTCTTATAGCTCTGTTGGTAGAGTTTACAGAGGGCCTCTCTCCAGGGAAGGGCCATTGGGGGGGTATTGCCACAAATCTGCAGCTTTGCTGAAGATCTGTCTCCTCTGTTCCCAAAGAATAGCCATCAGGCTGGCACATAAAGTTCAATGTCTGTAAAGTTTAAGTTTATGCTGTTACCTGTTATCCCACAAGACTTGTGTTCAAGACTGCTTAACCACCTGCTGTTGATTCAATTGGATCTTAGGGACAAAAGTGATTGTGGAGTGTTTCAAGCAGGAGGGAACTTCTTACTGCTTCGGTGATTTGTTGAAGATCTGTGTGAAGATGGTTGTCAACTGATTAGCCTAGACCTTCAAACAGTAGGGTGTTAATTTTATCTGGGCTTGGTGTCTTTTGTTATTTTTTGTTTCTCAAAGACCTGACAAACATCCTCTTCACCATCAGTGGAGCGAAGACAGTGGGAGAGGAGGAGGGGTAAGGGAAATGGTTGGGGATATGATGTGCTAAGATGCTAAGATGTATCAAATATCAGCCAGTTTAACAAGGACTGGCTAAATTTTGATCCACCTATGGCAATTTCAGCTTGATAGAATGATCGGCTTCCCTCTAATGGGAACATGAGAAAAATTTCCTTCGATCAGTGCGCAGCCAATTGCCTGTAGTAGTGGTATTGTATCATGACAGTGGAAGAGTCTTGCTGTCAGAATACAATAGCACAGTGCAGAGGATTCCTCTATCCACCTTACAAGTGTGGATGGGGGAATCCATTTGCTTTTTCTTTTAATCAGCCCGCTGGCTCAAGTCATCTTCTGCTCATCTCCTTAGTACAAATCCTCCACCCAAATCCCTCTCCCCCCCCAAATCCAATCCTTCCACAGCGTAAATCCTCTCCCCCACCAATCCCAACTAGCACAAATATATATCTTAATTGGACAGTACAGGACATAGGCAAAGTATTCATAGACCCTGGGCTCACACCTTCAGGTGATTGGACACTGACAAAGCTTATGAAGACATGCATCTTGGGCACCTTCCCTATAACCCTACCCCACTCCATAAGTCCTCAGTTTTTTTGATAGTGTTCTAAGGTGATGAACCTTGTACTGCATGTAGGGTGCCAATTCTTCATCTGCAAAAGCACCCCCCCCCCCCAGATACAGGTTGGCATAATTGGGTGCACATGACATGTCCATAGCCACCCCCTTTATCTGGGGGTATTGGGTGCCAGCAAATATAATATAGTTCCTGGTAAGGTCTCTGTCATTCTGATGCCCTGCTCATGGGGAATACTTGAATACAAAGCTTTGACATCAATAGCCACAAGCAGGGCAGCAGGAAGAACAGAAACCTCCTCCAATGTCTTTAAAAGGTCAATAGTGTCCTTAATGTATGATGGAAACCTAGTTACATGTGGTGTAAGATAAAAGTTCACCAACTGGCTTGCTTTTTCAGTTAAGGAACCAATCCCTGACATGATAGGTACACCCCTGAGGATGTGCATGCACACAAAACACGTTGGATCGAGCCTACATGCTGGCGTCACACCGCCGTGTCCGTGACTCGGAGCGGCGGCCATCTTAATAGTTTAATAAAACTACTACACTTTATATCGTTTTCTGAGCTCCGTGCGGTGAGCTTTTCTCCTAGGACAAGTCTTTTTGGCCAAAGATTATGAGTAGAGATGAGCGAATTATTCAAAAATTCGATTCGGCTGATTCGCCGAATTTTCGGAATAAACTTGATTCGATGCGAATTTATTCGCTGCGAATTTAACTTATTAAAAGGGTTTCTAGGCTTCAGAGAGCCTTTATATTAGTGCAGAACACTGTACCTTTAATTTAAATGCCCTTGGAGTCTGCTGGGGAAGAGAAATAATACTGTCAGTCAGTTAGACATGCAGATGAGTGCCGTCGATCTTAGAATCACCGCACACTTCACTCATTTGGGCAGTCACGGGGCACGACGAAGAAGATGAAGAAGAAGATGAAGAAGAAGAAGAAGAAGAAGAAGAAGAAGAAGAATGAAAAGAAGAATGAAAAGAAGAAGAAAAAGAAGAATGAAAAGAAGAATAAGAATGAAAAGAAGAAGAAAAAAAGAAGAAGAATAAGAATGAAAAGAAGAATGAAAAGAAGAAGAAGAAGAAGAATGAAAAGAAGAAGAAGAAGAATGAAAAAAGAAAAAGAAGAAGAAGAATGAAAAGAAGAAGAAGAATGAAAAGAAGAATGAAAAGAAGAAGAAGAAGAATGAAAAGAAGAAGAAGAAGAATGAAAAGAAGAAGAAGAAGAATGAAAAGAAGAATGAAAAGAAGAAGAAGAAGAATGAAAAGAAGAAGAAGAAGAATGAAAAAAGAAGAAGAAGAAGAAGAATGAAAAGAAGAAGAAGAAGAATGAAAAGAAAGAAGAAGAATGAAAAGAAGAAGAAGAAGAAGAAGAAGAAGAGGATGAAGAAGAATGAAAAGAAGAAGAAGAATGAAAAGAAGAAGAAGAAGAAGGAGGATGAAGAAGAAGAAGAAGAAGAAGTAGAAGAAGAAGAAGAAGAAGAAGAAGTAGGATGAGGATGAAGAAGAAGAAGAAGAAGAAGAAGAAGTAGGATGAGGATGAAGAAGAAGAAGAAGTAGGATGAGGATGAAGAAGAAGAAGAAGAAGAAGAAGTAGGATGAGGATGAAGAAGAAGAAGAAGAATGAGGATGAAGAAGAAGAAGAAGAAGTAGGATGAGGATGAAGAAGAAGAAGAATGAGGATGAGGATGAAGAAGAAGAAGTAGGATGAGGATGAAGAAGAAGAAGAAGAAGTAGGATGAGGATGAAGAAGAAGAAGAAGGATGAGGATGAAGAAGAAGAAGAAGTAGGATGAGGATGAAGAAGAAGAAGAAGAAGTAGGATGAGGATGAAGAAGAATTCCATTCCAGCAAAAAGTGTATCTGCAGAGAGCTCCGCTATTTCTGACAGTTCTCTGACAGTTCCTTCACATTTACAGCGGTTGAAACATTGTATCTATTTGTTTCCGAATAAAAACATCTGTATCCTAAATGGAAACAAATAGATACAATGTTTCAACCGCTGTAAATGTGAAGGAACTGTCAGAGAACTGTCAGAAATAGCGGAGCTCTCTGCAGGGACACTTTTTGCCGGCTGTAGAAGGAATGAAAATCGGCGGATCGGGGAAAATTCGATTCGTGCATCCGAAGTTTGCTAATATTCGGATTCGACGCGAATCGAATTTTTCCTAATATTCGAAACGAATTCCACTTCGCCAGGTTCGATTCGCTCATCTCTAATTATGAGCATTGTATCTGAGTGATCAACAATTACTGCTACTATACCAGTAGCATTCTGATGAGTGCATAGTGGTGTCGTAAAGTTCACTGGATCCTCTAGCACCGTTTGGAATTGGACACTCTGCTGCTGTGTCTTGTAGTGTCACTGACACATATTTGTTCGCCATTTGGACTGTACTTTGTCACGTTGTTCCGTGTGCTGCACATTAGCACTAATATACACTGGATGGGCTTCATTTGTTCATTGTTTCACTTAGCTATAGGTAATTAATTTTGCACTAGTGTGTTTATTTTACACTTGGCGTTTTAGTATGATTCCTTTGATATCTATATTATTCATCATATTTTTTTTTAGTGCTGCACTTCATATAAATACAATATTGCCACCCTTATCGTAGGGCTTAACCTCTTGGCGCCGGACAAACGCAAATGTGTGGCCTCACGGCGTCTGGAGCTAGACGCCGAGCGGCCCGCACATTTGCGTTCTATTAAAAAAAAAACATATGCGCTGAGAGCGCACGCCCTGCGCACTCCCAGCACGCACATTCGGTACTTACGGAAAGGTCCCGATCTCGTCTGTCAGGACCTTTCCCAATCATGTGACTGCCGTGACAGAGAATCATGGTGGTCACATGACCCTAAAACCCCGCCCTGTCTCCCAGCTTCTGGAACCCTTAAAGGGCCGGGAGGTGCTGGCGCCAAGGGGTTAATAATGATGTCTTGCTTAGACTGTATGGCCCAAATGCTATTTTTTAACTTTCAAAAATGTTTATACAGTTTTTACAAAATGACAGTAACAAGAAGGCATAGAACGTATAGTCAGCCATAATATACGGTGGTTACAACTCCAAAAAATATAAGAGGAACAGACAGATAGCATCGTAGCTACCTTTGTTTGTAAGGCAAAACTAGTGATGGGTCAAACACCACCCGGTTTGGAACATTGGAACGGACCAAAAGTTTGCTGCGAACATCGAACCTAAGGTTTAGGCCATAAGTGTGGTATGGGGACTCAGGTACTGACCTGCAGGACATGAATCAGTGATAAATTATTTTTTTAAAGTACCGTTTTTAAAGGGGCAGTCATATTTCATTGCTTAACCATTTGCCTTTTACCCCCTTCCTGCTCAGACCAATTTTCAGCTTTCAGTGCTCTCATACTTTGAAAGACAATTGCGCAGTCATGCACCACTATACCCAAACTAAATATTTATCATTTTTTTGAGTCAAATAGAGCTTTATTTTGATATTATTTGATCATCGCGGGGGGGGGGGGGGGGGGGGGGGGGTTATATTTTGCTAAACAAACTAAAAAAGACAAACAATTTTGAAAAAAAAAAAGTTTTTCTTAATTTCTGTTATAAATTTTTGTAAATAAGTAATTTTTCTCCTTCACTGATGGGCACTGATAGGCTGCACTGATGGGCACTGATGAGGAGTCACTGATGGGCACTGATAGGCTGCACTGATGGGCACTGATGAGGCTGCACTGATAGGTGGCACTGATGGGCAGCACTGATGGGCACTGATTCAACAGATGGGCACTGATGGGCACTATTGGCCGCACTGTGATGGTTCTACACTGATCACCAGGACATTGATCATCAGTGCCCTGATGATCAGTGTAGATGTCCCCTTGTAAAATGCTGCTTACCAGCTCTCTTCCCCTCACATTGTCAGCATGAGGAGAGGACTGCCGATAACTGGAATTTCCTCTTTACCCAGTGATCAGCTGTCATTGGACACAGCTGGTCACATGGTAAAAGTGGCTGTGATTGGCCTGTTCCTTGGTCATGTGATCAGCTGTGTCTGAAGAGGACGAGCAGGGGGCGCGGTTCTGGGAGGATGTCCATGACTCCCAGAACTAGCAGACCGCACTGTAGCCGTCTTTTGGCAATAGCGTGATCGAGAACTGGTTAAAGTAAAAAAATATCATGCCTAGGGGATCCCGGTAAACTACCTGCAAAGTTGCAGATCTGTAAAATATATAGAACCTGCTGCAGCAGGACTGACTTTTTTTTTTTAAATGACATGTTTCTAGAAAAAAAAAACAGCGTAGGGCCCCCCCCAATCTATACCAGAATAGTTTTTTTTTTTAAATTTTTGCTTGTTTTATTTTTTCAATTATTATTCTTTATTTAATTGTATTTTTTTGGGGTGAGAATTTTTTCCCCCTCTGTCTTATATAGTGTAGGGTGGATACTGTGCACTGTGAGAGCTCAGTGGATTGTGGGGTGTTTGGCCGGCGAACAGTTGGTGATGCCTTAACACAGTAAACCTTCAGAGTTATTCTTGACAAGTGTAGGATTGGACCCTCCCATTGTCTGGAAATGTGTTACACAAATTTTTTTTCAAGGCGTCTTCAAGATGTTTCATTCTCTGCATCCTCTGCAAAGACTGGATGAGCTCTGAAACATTACCCTTGTAACATGGATCAAGAACAGTTGCCAACCAGTATTGATAAAGATAACACGAATCCTCAGGCTTTCCAGAATCAGGCAGCCCAAGCAGCCTAAATTTGAAGAGACAGGAGATTCTGAGTCCTCTGGGTCACTGAGGATGACATTGTCAGGAACTTCCTCCTCCCAGCCATGTTTACTACTCCTGGCTGGGTTTCTGGAGACTGAAAACCACCCCTTGAAGACTGCTGTATGTGATCCTCTACTTCCATGCTGCTGCAAACCTCCTCCTGATGTGTGTTCTGCGGCTCCACATGAATGGTTTCTGCATAAAGGGGGCCTTGAGAGGACAGGAAATCCTCCTCTTTCTCCCGCTGTTCTGCCTCAAGTGCCCTGTCCATGATTCCATTCAATGTGTGCTCTAGCAGGAAGACTAGAGGAATAGTGTCACTGATGCATGCAGTGTCGCAGCTCACTATACTTATGGAGTCCTCAAATGGTGACAGGACAGTGCATGCATCCTTTTTCAGCAGCCACTGGCATGGTGAAAAGAAGCCAAGCTCCTCTGAGCCTGTCTTTGTGCCATATTCACACAGGTACTCATTGATGGCTCTCTGCTGTGTGTGCAGTTACTGCAGCATTGCCAAAGTTGAGTGGGCATGTCACAAATGAGTCGGTTAATGGGCAGGTTGAATTCCTGTTGAATTTCAGCCAGCTGTACACTGGCCGTGTATGACTGCTGGAAATGGCCACAGACTTTTCTGGCCTGCCTCAGAAGATCTTTAAAGCCTGGCTACCTTTTCAAGAAACGTTGCACCACCGAATTCAGGATGTGTGCCAAGCTTGGAACATGTGTCAAGTGACCCTGACGGAGGGCGGAGAGTAGGTTGGTGCCAATGTTGCATACAGCCATTCTTGGCTCAAGATACTGTGGCATCAACAACCTCTAAGCCTATCCCTGCAGAGCTGACAAAATCTCTGGCCCAGTGTGGCTCCTGTCCCCTATAAAGACCAGCTGAAGCACTGCTTGAATGCTTACAGAGCACTGCTGGTTCAGACGACAATTCAGAAAAAGAGGCCATAGACGCAGAGGAAAAGGAGGGGGTAGAGCAGACAGATGTGGCAGAATCACCACTAGCTTTTTGGTGGAGGGACAAGCTCCAGCACTGAACCCTGTCCTGCATCCTTCCCAGATGCTAGTAGAGTTACCCAGTGCACCGTGAAGGATATGTAATGTCCCTGACCATGCCTTCTGGACCATGTGTCAGCACTAATGGGAACCTTGCTGCTGACTGC